TGCAGTACATGACCGCTGTGATGCCGTGCCATGCTGTACGACGCCGTATGCGCACCTACCTGGTCCAGGTCCGGCGCTGACCGGCACCAGCCAGCGATACACGCACATTTCCCCCGCCGCCACCTCCTGGCAGTTATCCCCCCGGACCACCAGCCCGCCACCCATCTGAATGTTGATGGGGTAGTTGGCCAGGTCCGTCAGGTTGTTTCGGAGGTGGATCTCTAATATGTCCCCAACCTACCGATTAAGGGGTGACAAGGTGGAGGGGGGGGGGCCCGCATCGGGGTTTCAGCCACATGATGGCTCACAATCACATCATTGACAAACGCATTGGCTTGGGTTTGCGTGTGCGAGGTTGTAGAACGTGGCACGTGTTTCGAGGTGTTAGATATTTCAGCTTCAGCAGCAGCAGGAGTGTTCAATAGTAGAGCATCGTAACCACTGCGGCAGTAGCAGGAGGGTACGGCTGCAACCCCCTGATGCCCGGTACGAAGGTAGCTAGCTAGGTAGCTAGGTAGGAACGGGGCACTCACCCACCGATCCACCCGCATTACCAGGCACGATCTCACCCATGCACTCACTCACCCACCCCCCTCATTTACTCCCAACCAGTCATACACAGATGCACGCACGCGTCCTCCCACACACGTCCTCCCAGCACATACATACGCACGCACACACCTCGACCACAATTGTGGGTCCCATGGTCCCATAGTACGCTGGTGTCGCATTGCGTACGGTGAAGCTTTCGTCCGTGTACGCCCTGTACGGAGCACGTACGGAATGTGTAGTGAGTGAACGACAGAAGAAAAACGTCCCCCTCCGTACACCTCGCCTGCTGTACCCGTATGCCGTACCTGAATACGGCCTTGCGGTAACGCGATCCAACAGTGTACCACCCCTTTTCCAGGTACTTGTATGCATTGAACTTCAGACCGCTCTCGTCCACCAAATTTTTGTTGCACCTGTACGTCGGTACGAAAAGAAAAACAACCTCAATGATCGATATCATCAACATCGTCTGGTCTTACATAAAAATACGCATTATTCATATTAATTACGTAAGTAAGCATAAGATCCTTCTTCTAGATTAATAAGATGACAGTTTGTGTGTGAGCTACAAGACAAACTGAAAGCGCACCCGCAAATCTGGATCTCTGACCACATTCACTCCCACTCCCACCCACCCATGCCTACAGCCGCATACCCGCGATGTGAACATCTACACAATAACAAATTCGAAGGAAGACTTACTTGTAGCCGTTCGGTGCGTAGTCCCAGTCCACCGGTTCAGCTTGAATATAGTACTTGCGGGTAGTGCCCGTAGGCGTTGTGGCCTCAACCAAAGCCGGATTCTGGAGCACCTCGTACTTGGCCCTCATACCGGACATGACGTGGTCAGCAACCCGACACTGCAGCTCGTACTTACCTACCGTAGTAACAGCAACAGTATCCGTACAGCCGCAGCAGTATCAGTATCCGTACAGCCGCAGCAGTATCAGTATCAGTATTTCCGCAGCAGTATCAGTATCAGTATCAGTACAGCCGCAGCCGCAGCAGTAGCAGTAGCAGTAGCAGTTGGCAACAAAGCACACTGGCAACAGCACCAGGCAGATAGAACGCAGCACCGCCGATCAAAAACCCACGTGCTACATCTCCATCGTGTGTGTCTATTAGGTGGCACGTTACTAAACCCAACCCTAATCCCCAGCTAACTGTAGGTTTTCTGAGAGTAACGAAAGAAAACCAAGGTTTTCTGTGTATTTGCCGAGAGCGTACTCGGCTGTTCGTTGGTGGTACGGCGGGGCCGTACTGGTGAGAAAGTAGGGCAAGTCGCGGAGAGCGCGACGGAAAGAGCAATTTCGCGAGTTAATATAGTCAGTACTGACAGGCTTCCACTGCGTCGTCTGCCCATTACACCGCCCCGCGGCAGATAGCGCAGTCGGTAACCAGGCTCGCCTCCTCCCACGGAAGCAAGCACACTCTTCTGCTCGCAGGTACCCAAGCCCGACTCACGTCTATAAGCGGTAAGGCAACTACTCATGAAAACCACTTTAAAACCCTAACTACCCAACCGACATCTATTCCCACCCACCCACCCAACCAACCACACGTACCGGGGGAAGTCATGACCACGTCCGCACTGACCATTCCGCCCGGGCTGATCTGAATGCTGTCCGTGTGTTGGGCGTTGTAGTCGAACCGGGGACCGCCCATGTTGGGGGTGTGCATGTCTTCCAGAGTGCCCAAAACCATGACGTGCAAGCGAACCTGGTTCAGAGGGTCAGGTATGTAGCGGGGATGTAAAAGGACGGCGGCGATGGTGGGTGCAACGAGCGAGGGCGGCGCTGGTTCAAAATGTATTGTTTTGGAGGGGGGAAACGAGACCAAACGTCTATGTTGCATAACGTCCAAGTTGTGGATCGCAAGTACTCGCATGTTAAGTACTCACAAGCAATAGCAGTGGCGGCAGCAGTAGGGGTTAGCAAGGTCAGCAAGGTTAGCAGGGGCGTGGGTTAAGTGCGACGAGGGAAGTGAACCGAGAGTGTTGGGCAAGGCCAGGCTTTGTTGTTGTTGTTGATTTTGGGAGGCTTTTTGGAGAGTGAGGGGCTTGTGGGCCGATTGCGCACATTGGCCTAGAATTGGACACCACACAGCACCATACGCCACCACCACACTGTACTACACTGCCACACGAACTGCAAGTCCAAGACGAATGATTGGCCTTCTAGGATCCCTCCTCATCCAGTCACCCGAACATCCGCAGAGACAGAGGGTTCAGCAGTCGCCACCCATCCAGCGTGTGAGTCTCGCTCCTACGTTTTGTGGCCGGAAAGTAATCGTACTGCCGTACATAGGCCGTGGAAAGTACGCATTTGAACCAATTGCTTTTTTTGGGTTTCACCAGCTTCATCGTCACTATTTTCTCCTAAATGATATCGTAAATGACTTCTAACCAGTTATGGCAATTACGAAGAAGTAAAAGCACAGGGCAGGCGGAATGTGAAAGCACCGCTGAGCAGAACCAGGATAAAAACAAGGATGAGGAGAGGCGCTGTGTCAGGTCTCTCGTACAACGTACCTTATCGCCCTGCGTGAAAGTCAGCTTTGGCATGTTGCAGTACATGAAGCCGTTGATGCCGTGCTTCAGCATATGCTCCTGTTGGGATTCGAACCATGCACCATCCACGGTTTTTTTTCATACAAGATTACCTATAGCAAATAGAGAATGCTTTCGGCAGGCAACGAAATTACAGGCCTGCTCTGTTCCATCCATCCACGTGCAACTGGCAAATACTATATACATTTTTTGTACATTGTACGGGCTCCGATGCCCAGTCTAGGCCGCCCCAGCTGAATCCCGCCCCTGGTTTCTGCCTATACCACTTTTCTCCTGGGCCCTTCTGGCACTTTCAGCCCTGACCCCACGTTGCATTCCGTGCACCCATTTAACCTGACGACAGTGACCTTCTCATTGGCCGTCCGATGATTGTTTCTTGTTCGATCAAATTTCAATAAAGCTCTAACTCTTCGAACTTCAAACTTCGAACGGACGCGGTCCCGGGAGGGGTCCAACTGCACGTGCCCACGTGCCGCAGGCCTGCCCCTTAGCGGTCTGAAAACCAAGCGTCCCTCATCACGTGAATAAATAATTGTATAAATCTAAATTTTACTTTAGGATTTTGATACGTTTATGGCAGCAGATGCCGAAATGCTAGGTCGTCATATGCACTGCCGTACAGTCTCGTACCATGAAGCCCGGATCTGCTATCAGGTCCTTCACCGCGTCGTCATCCGCCGCCAGAGCGCCGTCATCCCCCAACCGCGTCCGCAGGTTGGCCTGTGCAGGCGTTTTTAACGTCGTACAGCCAGACAGAAGGGAAACACAGAGTGCCAATTAAGGCGAGATTTTAATTGCTAAAAAGGGCTGTTGGAATTATTACCTTCTTCAATCATCAGTTGTTCATCCTTAACACCCCCTGCGGCCTTGTGGTGTTTTTTTCCTTTTTCACGCTGGAGTGAGGCAGAGATATCGCTGACAGCTGCCCGGAGCCACGGGACTTGTAATTAAAAAAAGGTAAGGCGACGGTCACACAGTGCGCACACTAGCGCTTGTCACACCAAGGAGGTCAGGTCCACTGGGTGACCCACGCCGCACACAATCTGAAGCCGCACACAATCGAAGCCCCTCCGAGGCCACCTGTTCCCACTCCCGAGGTCCCCCCTTTCCGCAACCCCCTCACCCATTCATTCATTCACCCACCCATACATCCACCCACCCGCCCGCCCTCTCAAACGTCCCACCATAAAATTGGACGACTTGATCTCGTTGGTCACGGCGAAGAAGATGACGAGCTCGCGGTCCACGTCGGTGGGTCGGGGGTCGGAGACGGGGTTGACAGCCTTGGCTGCAGGTGGTCAGAGGGAAAGAGTGTAGAGAGTGTGTATGTATGTATGCATGTATGCATGTATGTATGTATGTATGTATGTATGTATGTATGTATGTATGTATGTATGTATGTATGTATGTATGTATGTATGTATGTATGTATGTATGTATGTATGTATGTATGTGGCGCATGTGCGCATGTACGGAAATTCGCATCCTGGAAAAAGCAACTAGCAATGTTAAGCTTTTATAGGATCGGTTGTTCTGTATGCCGCTGCGAAAGACTGGCGACAAGCTGCTAGTCGATGGCTGGGAGGCAGTTGTTCCTCTGGACTCGTCTGCAAGCGCCGTTATGAAGATCTTCTTCGGATTATTCCTCTTGCGTGTCACCCCAGCAGTGGATAACCACCCTACCAAACCGGTAGTCGCTAGCTGGTCGCTTCGGTACCTGGCTGGTAGCAGAGTAACCGACATACTGACCGATAAGGTTACCAGTAAGGTAACGGTTACCGGTCGGTTACCAGGTCGTTATCTCAAAATGTCGGTTACCTTAACAAAGCGATCGGTTGGGAAATAGCTAACCGGTTGGTTACCGGCCCCAACGTAAAGAACACGGTGAACGCCGCGTAACATATGTAAAGCGAAAGCACCTCGTGAAATGCAATCCACTCCCCCTAATGATAATGATCATGGAGAACGAACATCACGAACAAACCCGGAAACGAACTGTCAAAACCACATGTACGTACACCCGTGCTCGCTACCGTACACCTGAACGCAACTCTCCTCGTATCATGTCCCCCTGGCCTCCTAACCAAGCCAGTAACCCCGGTTCGCACCTGAATCCGTAACAATGATAGCACCAGCCAGTCCTGCATAGGTGTCCGCGGTCTCATCCACATGGCTGTGATACATCCACAATAAGGAGGACGGATCCCGGGGGCCTGGGCCGGAGCGTTCCGTCACCTGGGGGAATGTTGTATGTAGAGTGCCGTGTTGCTTAACTAAGCAATCCAAAAAACGCCGATATTTGGGCCGATTTATTGACACCTTTCATGCACCTTATCATTTGCCATGCAATGGCGTCCTTGGGGCCCCCACGGCTTGTACGGACACCCCCGCACTTGTGCGGAATTTGTAACTTGTAATTGCGTGTACGGATCAGTGGTATGAAAAACACGACACACACGGACACCACCCAGCACGCACGTGTGCTTGCAAACCCACCTGCCACACATACTCGTACTTCTGGTTCGGCTGTACGACGTCGTCCAACTTCTGGTTGGCTGCTGTGCCATCTTCGTACAGGGTGCCCTCACTGGCCTTGTTGTAACGCACACCGTGGGGGTGCATGGAAACGTTGATGTTGGCGCGATTGAGCAGTATAACCTGTGCCGTACGTGCATCGCAACGGAAGCACGGGTTGTTGTAAAGTGTTGACACACATGCCTGAACTGCTGTGCCATAAAAAACTAACCAGCGTAAAACCTAACCAGCGCTCACCAAAAATTCCTTAGAACTCCCTAGAATTCCATAGTAGAAATCCATCATTTCAGTCCCAATCACTTGGCGTGATTTCACGCATACAGACGTTTAATGAAGTGTGGAGCATTATTTGTACAAACCGTGCAGACTTCGCATCCAATTACATACTGTGCTCCCACATTGTTTCGCACCTTAATCGTGTCACCGACAACAGCTTTGAAAATGGGGCCCACGAAGCCTAGGTACGAATCCTCTGGCGAACGTTCCTTCTTCACCGAAAAGCTGCTGTTGGTGTACTCCACAAATAATGTCTTGGTGAGTTTGTAGCCCAGCCGGGAGTCCACACCGTCTGCCAGGGGTCCATTGACGAACTGGGAGCCATCGATGCCTTCAGAGAATGGCACCGGAGAGTCCCTGCGGTCAGGGGTACACGGATGTACACGGATGTACACGTCAACGAATTTGCACTGCGTGTGGGGTATATAGAACCAATCCACGCGTGACGGCGCCCGTGACTGCGTTTCTCTCCCCCACCCACCCTTACTCCCACCCGCACACCCACCCGCACACCCACCCTTACTCCCACCCACCCTTACACCCACCCGCACATCTCCGTGTTGTTCGGCCCCGTGTAGCTCCACTCCACCTCCTCAGCGGCCACGTAGTAAACCCGCTCGGTGCCCCCGGAGGGAAGCGGGGCTGGGTTGCCTGTACGGCAGTAGTACGGCAGGTGGGATAGAATCGTGCGCATGTTCTTATGCCAGCATTTCTGTGAGCTACATTACTACATCACCGCGTTTCGCTTGACGCATGGCCCGACAACGCATGGCTCAGCCACCCGTCCACAGTCCCCCACACTCTTTACCTCCACCAGCACGAACCCCAACATCCCCAACATCCCCACCCCAAACACCCGGCACTGATCACCCTGCCCCACCCTTCACGGTGTACAAGTTGACCATCCCTCCATCCATGTGGAAGTTGACGTGGCAGTGGAACATCCAGGCTCCCGGCTCGTCCAACTCCATGTTAACCGAATAAGCGGCGCCAGGAATGCCCGTAAACTGGTCCACGTGGTGACCGTTGAGCTGCAACCGAACAATCGCAACCGCCTAGTTGGTTAGTTAGAAAGTTGGTTAGGTAGGGTGCAGGTTGTTGCTTGCAGCAGGTAAGTGTGTGGAGGGGGGCGAGAGGGACAGGGAGAGGGAGGGGAAGGGATTCCTGATTCCCAGTAACCTTACGAAACTATGCTTTGAACAAGCCACCTACCCCGCTCTTTCATTCCCATTCCCACAATAGCCGTAACCACCCCTAACCACCTCTAACTACCTCTAACCAGACTGCTCACCTCAACAGTATGTCCATGCCAGTGGTAGTTGTGGAGGCTGTCACTCGAGCCCACACTGGCCAGGTGCCACCTCACCCGCTCCCCCACAGCCAATGTCAGGTAGTCGTGGGGCATGTTGCACCACACATAGCCGTTCATCGCCATCTTGGTGTACGACACATCGGACGGCGGAGCCTTGCCGTACGGCAGCATGGCACTGGAGCGCTCGTTCACGGACTGGAGGGTTTCGAAGTTGGGGGAGTTAGGGGAAAGGGAAGTCGAGTGCAGGCCGGGGAGATTGGGGGGGGGGGGGGACGCGAGACAGGCGGGAGCAGCTTTTAATATAAAACGGAAAAACGAAATTCTTTTCCCTTTCATCCCCGAAATGGAGTCATTATAGTTTAATTTACTAAGTTCTCCAGAAATATAAACTGCGGATCCTGAACGCATTTAGCTCATGTAACCCCGGCCTGCCCTCGTACCATGCTGCCACCACTGGATGTGGAGACGCGCAGGACACGTAGCGGCGAGCACCCGCAGCAGAGTCGAGGAAGTCTGGGCACACCTCTAAGACCGGCACAGATACAAAGACAGGCCACATCACCCAAATCGGGAACCCCGACAGCACCAACTGCAGCAATAGACAACCCTCCAAGCCCAAACCACTCCAACCAACCCCACCATGCGCCTGCAAAACCACGCCGACACCACCAACTGACCTGGAACATAACCACCAGCTCCCGGTCCACATCACTCGGCCGCCCGTCCGCCGCCTTCGCCACACCGGCGCCCGTCACAATGATAGGGCCCACCAGGCCCGCATTGTCGTGCAGCGACGGATCCACGCTGCTGCCGTACAGCCACAACCGCGAGGTGACGGTAGCGTCCGGTCCTGCAGGCCCTGCCTCCGGCGGCACGACCCAGAGGTAGGTGGCGGCGCCGCCAGGGGGCACGGGTTGCACGCGGGCGGATGTACGGCCGGCGCCGTCCCAAGCCACGATGCCGCCGTTGGGCACCATATTGACGGCGACGCCGCTTGGGAGGTTGTTCTTGAATACGATACGAACCACATCCCCGACGGCGGCCCGAATGAGGGGCCCCAGATTGCCGAGGTGCTGCCACTCCGCAGGTCGGGGCTTGAGAGTCTGCGGGTGTACGGGATTGGGGTAGGGACAGGGCATATTTGTGTGTATGTATGTATGTGTGTGTATTAAGTGTGTTGGGGAAAGAAGAATAACGGGGCAGGGGGAAAGGTGGCGGGATGAGGGGATGCGGGAGAGCCGGGTTGTGAGGTTGGCTTGAAGATGGATCCGCAAGTCTGAGGTTCAAATCGGTATTTGGCTAAATAAGATAATGTGGGTTCGGGTCCCACCGCTGGTCCTCCCCCCCCGGGTGAAGTCGATGGGGGTGGTGAAGGCTGAGATGAAACACTGGGTTCCTCCCGTGCGCTGGGCGGCTGGAGGGGGAGCTCTCACCATGAATACACTGTCGCAAAGCAGTGGCGGGGAATAATTTTGCACAGGGCCTGGACCAGGGGCTGTATACCAGATGGTGGTTGGGTAACGAAATCGGGCGGCGGCGGCAGGATTCGCAAGGATAGGGTGGCGATTGGCGCACCGGTGTGAGTGCATTGGCAGGTCGCGCAGCTGTAGAGCATGCGCTTTCGTTGGAACGGAGGGGTTGTTTGGCATCTGAGCTGATGTACGTAGCTGGCTAGAGGATTCGAACAGGTGATGGCGTCTTGCGTTGATGAGGGAGAACGGTTAGGATTCTGACCGATATAACACCCCTCAATGATGGAGAGCGCTTCGGCGGTCGTTCCCGTTGGGGTACGGTTAGGTGCCCCTGGCCAGCGTCAGGCCCGGATCGATACATGTAACAGATACACACACACACGGACAAATACACAGACACACATACCTCTCCTCCCCACCTTCCCCAAGACGCAAAGATATCGCGAACATGAAGACACACAAAGCACATGCAAGTATACACATAGCCGGGTGAAATCTACCCATCTACACACTCATCCATCCATCCATCCATCCAAACACACGCACACAAGTGCGCGCACGCGCCCCTACCTTGAAGCTGCTGTCCGTGTACTCCCGGTACTGAGCCTTGGTGAAGGTACCTCCCACGCGCGTGAAGCCCGGTGTCAGGAACATGGCGGCCATGCGGTCGTCGTAGCACAGGTTGCGACCTGAGGGAGCGTAGTCCCAAGAGATCTACACATCGAAGCACAGCACGGCACGGCAGGAACACACACGCAGCAACAGTGAGTAGTGTGAGAGGCTAAGAGGTGCATCATATTGTGTTTCGGGTCAAGGCCATTACCGCCCCACACACCCATTTCCTACAGGACTTTGAGACTCATCTCCCCCAACTTCCCCCCCCCCAAACGGCCCCACGGGTAGTGAACCCTCCCCTACAACTACAAACTTACAGAAAGACACTCCACATACACTACGCCTTCCCATGTTTGTACGTTTGCACTTTTCTCATCATCCAGCCATACCCACCATCGCCCTACCACCACCTTGCACCAACTTCCCATCCTCAGCTTAAGAACTGCTTAAGAACCGTTCAACCATGGCTCCAGCTTGCGACCCCACAAAACGAATTATGACAATATGGATTTGGGTCCTGCAAAGTAAAACCTAAAGAACAAAGATAACAAAGATAACATGAGGGTTTCGTGGGTAACCTAACCATCCTAGGCGCCTCCCGTACCTGGTCAGCTGCGATGAAGTAGGTGCGCCCCGCCACAGCCGCGCCCAGATCGATCGCCGAGTAAAGCCCCGAGCCGCCGCCCTTGTCCTTCTTGCCACCTATACCCACACCCACACCGACGCCCACTCCCACGCCCACTGCCACAGCCACAAACACGGCTACAGCAATCCATTTTAAGCTCCTGCTGCTCCCCTTGCTGGCACCGGCACCGGCACCACCAGCGGCGGAGCTGCGGGCGGACTCAAGCCCCTTCTTAGGGGAGGACGGCGGCGATGGCGACGGCTGCGATGAGGACGTCGCCGCCGCCTCCACATCCGCGGAATTCATCTGCACATCCACATGGTCTGGCCTTAAGGCAGGGGCAGCGGGTGCGCTGCCGTACATGGTGGTGGCGCTGCCGCTGTGCCTGTTCGCGGTTTGCGCTTCCTGGAGGCTGTACGGAAACTTTCGCCAGCCTCTGGCCTGGAGAGGGATGGGGAGAAGGCCGGGAGAGTTACTTGTCTTAACTACAATTCATTTTTGTATTTCGTCGAGGATGGCACAGAGCCGGATGCAGGTGCTGGGGAAGGTGTGCACTAAGGCTTTGGGAGCTGCATGCATTGCCGAGCCGTGGCGAGGGGGATGCTATTACAAAAAGATACAAGAATCCTCACAATGTAGCGATTAAAATTAAGGTTAAAAGATGCGGGTGGCGTGCACGAAGCCTGTTCAGTCTTCGCCGACATCCGGCAAGTAATTGTCCGACCGCATTGTTTTGCAGCATTTTGGGTCACATTTAATGCAGGTTGTCCAGATATTTTGCAAGGATGTCACTGCGTTTCCCTTTGCAGCTGCACGTGGGACGACAGCTTGCGCGATGTAGCCTCCAACGCGTCCAAATGTCCAATTGGCCATAACGAGGGAAACTTTGAAAACTAATCGAGCAATCATACCTTACAAAGCACTTGCCGCCACTAAGCTGATTGCGATTCTCCAATGGGAGACGAGAAAACAGTAATACGATTACGAATTTCAAGCGCCGATCGCGGGAGCCGCAGCTCATGCGTCAACTTCAATCGATGGCTACAGATAAAGCCATCGAATGACGGTGCCGCAACATTAGGCAACCTTGCTGACAGTGCGTGCGCCTGGCACGCGCATAATCACTTCCGTACAGCAGTCTGCGAGGACTGGGTCTTGCGCTCTCAGAAATCGGGAGCAAGTTATGGGTAAAATTAGCAAATGGCTACACTTGGTGCCTGTTTTGCAATGTATCAGGGACAGTGTGAGAATTTGCAAATTGTCGGATGCAACGAGGGAGGCCACCTTCTCACTAACGACTCGAGGGTAGTCCGAACGATTGCCTCGGCTTGAATTTGCATCGAAGGTACCGGCGCAGCTGTGTAGAACCGGACGATTCGCACATTCTCAGAATGAATACGGCCGGAATTTCTACGGTCTTGAAGCAGCTACGCCTCCCATGTCGCCATCCTAAAACATCGTGGCCTCAATTCCACCTCATCCATAGCACCTGAAAGGATCATTCAAAAGCCATCAACATATCCATAGCTCAGAGCGATAGGATATGCCTGGATATCTTGCACTGGAACGGCCCGCCCAGCCTGCACGGCCTCCGCTCGATTCCCCTGTCGAGCATAACGGTATCCTAGAGTAGGCACAACTGTATGAGGGTGAAAAGCACTAACGCCATTCCTTCGCTATTACCCGGATCCCCAGGCGCTGGAGCGTTGTAGGGCGGCTGCGACTTTTGCTTTTAGCACGCAAGGCAACGGTCGTAACGTAGGGCCACAGGGCCGCTACAGGCTGAAGCTGCTACGAGACCTCAATACCTGATCTATCTGACTCATAATGCACTGCACAAGAACTCCTCGAAGTTTGAATTACAAGTAAATCTAAAATGGATTTCGAAAGGGTGGAGGAAGCCTTCTTGAGCTCAGATTAACCTTTTTAATGCTTATTCGCTGGCATGTCGACATGCTGATGAGGTCTTTCAGTAGCTTCCTTTCGGTCCGTTTCTCCAGGCTTCTCCCTCACGGCTACGCTCGGCTGGTCCGTTTGCATCTTTCAACATTTGTCAATAATGGAGTTTCCCCTGCCGAATGTCGGTATCAACTGGTGTTGCTACAACCCGCTCCGCTCCCGTCTTTACCCGTTACCCTTCACACTTCCGCCTGTATAGGGAAAACAGGGGGCGAGGAACGAAGGGCCTGGATCTTAAACTGGAAACTGCAGCATTGCCATGCGCCTCTTAGCAGGCTTTGTCTACCGCAGGGATTGCCTCGTATGGAACCTCCCATAGCTCTAGCCCTAGCTCAAGCCGTAGCCCTTGTCCTGTTCCCAGCCATCTTTTATGCTGCTGTGGCAACTGATTCTTCGGTGCAAGGTGTGAAAGTGTTGAGCTGAGAGAACCCCGTTGCGATCCTTTGTGCGAGCAACAGAGCGCCATGTACCCCCCTCCCGGGTCCTATTACTGCTGTCACCATATGAGTATCGGTCACATTCCAACAAATAAGAATATCGCGGATAACGGGAACTTGGCGTCTACGTCGCTCCATATCGGTTGCTGGCTCAGTTTTCAACCCTCCAATGGAAAGGAAAGGAAAAGAATGCATCAAGGCCCGGAGAGGCCTGGTGTACTTCGCGCGCGAGAGGCAACATGTGCACGTGGAAAAGCGCTCGTAAAGGTACGTTGCGAATCGGACGTTGCACCACCGCGTGACGGCGGTGCACCATTCAATTGCACCACGGGATGGCGGAGAGATGGCAGAGGCGGTACCGGACTGCCGAACCGGACCAACCTTATCCTCCCCCACCCAGGACCTCCACCACACCTCCACCCGCGTCATCCGAGGTGCTGCTTTTTCCTGGATGGGTTTCCCTCCGCCTAATCCTTCTCCTAACCTTTCCGCACCTCATCCTTCCTCACCTCATCCCACATTCTGTTAACTTCTCGTATCGGTCCTACGTTTGAAGTCATGCAAGTCCACGCAAGGAGTTGCAGGACGCTACACGGCCTCCGTGGTCACAGGGACGAAAACAAGTAAAAGTCACGAAGAGGTAAACCAACCCCATGTACAGAGGAAGTCCTCAAGCGAAGGCGGAAGGCGGAAGGCGGCCCAGGAATTGAGAGCGCTCCTGAGGGCCTGAGGTGCCCCGGACGGCCGGAAAAGCTGTTGAAGGGCGTGGACAGTACTGGACAAGAAAGACCCTGTTGTCAAGTGGTTCGCTCGCCGGTGAAAGCAGGAGAGATATGGATGATGCTGGTGCCGGAGTTACGTTTAAGATCTTTAGATTGTAACAGAAGGCATATATGTGTCACATGTCGTTCTGCTTTCAGGTTAGACAGCTGTGATTTTGCGCAGGCGTGCGGCAGAGCTGCCAAGCGGCCACTCCCTGTTTCGGTTTGTGTCTGTGGTCATTCGCCTTGGATACCGGCTACCGCTGCAACGGCTGACTCGACGCGGTTGCTTCGGAGAGTTAGTTAGTGGTGTTTGGGTCAACCAACGGACAACTAGAGCAGGATACATGCTTTGAACACAATATCTCGTCCTTAATACTAGCATGTGGGATATAGCTAACATTATTCTTTTGTGTTCAGTACAGCATACTTGCTTTAATAAAGGACCGAAGCGGCCCACGTGCTGGGACTCAGTCGGTTACCTGCGGCTTCCGTACACCAGCTTTGAAATCTAGCTGCGCGTTATGTCCCTTTCATTTGGCCTACCTCCATACATAAGAGGTCCAGGTCTAAGTGATTCCGAGCTCGCCGGCTTGGTTTGGCTAAGAAACTGCGTTTGTCTCGCCCACGGGTCATTAAGCGTTCCAGAAGTATTAAGAAGTAAATAGACAAACCTGTATATTATAAAAGTTGCAAAGTTACCTAATTGGTAAGCCATTTTGCGTGGACTGCGTAAGCGGCGTACGGCGTACACTCGAGAAGCACCCGAAAGAGAACATACAGAATAATACCATCACGTCGTCAATTGTAGGGCAGCTTTTGCATTGTCTGGTGCGTGTTGTTGCGTAGCTTAGTGAACCCAGTTTCCAACACGATCATTGGCTGCTCCAGCGGTGGCATATCGCTTTGCCATGTTGCAAAACGCGGGAGCCCGCGCCCTGGGCGCTGGTATCTTGCAGGTGTGTAGCCTTAGCTCATTCAGCCCAGCGCGCTTGGTAGCTGCATAAACCTACGTCGACGTGGGGCCGTCGGCGCCTTACGTTACATTTCGGCAGCGCTCTCTCTGACAGCCCATACAACTTTGATCTAATGCAGGTTGTTCAGGGATCTTTGGGATTGCAAGCTACGGCACTGCGATGCCTAAGGTATGGGAGAGGTGTCGTCGTGATGGCAAGAGTCGTCGAGCGACGACATGCGACTCCGAAATTTATTTCCATGGTCTCACGCTTTCATTTTTTTCTCATTTGTCCACGCTACTCCCAATAACGCAGCGTCTCGGCGAGTCGGTTGTCCGACGCCGTCATCGGAATCGATCTGGGAACAACCAACTCCTGCGTCGCTGTCATGGAGGGCAAGGTACGCTATTTTGTGCAGCGGAATCCAGATTAGATCTTCACAAAACTGGGTCAAAGCCATGGGACTCCGCTCACGCGGGGTTCGGGGAGGAGCGCGGGCTATCGTTACCGGTATATACATCTACAGCCCCCGGCAGCCACTCCTCACAACCCGCATCTTCTTAACCTCCTCCCTCTCCCTCCCTCCCTCCCTCTCTCTATGTCCTCCTTCCTCTCTTAATTGTGCAGACTCCTCGTGTGATTGAGAATGCAGAGGGTGCCCGCACCACTCCCTCTGTGGTCGCGTTCACGGATAAGGGCGAGCGCCTGGTGGGCCTCCCAGCGAAGCGCCAGGTAAATAGCCGCCAGCACCATCTCCCGGCAATAAACAACAAACGGCCACAAAGGTTGAACAACGAAAATGAGGTCGCAGGCCGTATCCACAAACTCACCAATCCCTTCTGCCTGCCCAGACGTGCCGTACATACCTTGTAAAGCACGCGTGCCCGATGATTTGGGGTGGGGGAGGTGGACGAGGGAGGGACGGAAGGAGGGACGTTATGTTACGGTTTGGGATTCGGTGTTTACATCGGTGCGGTGAAGGAAAGGATGTATGTTTGAAATCTCCGAAGTCCCCGCTCCAATCCGTCTAGACACGAAACTGGGCCCTACGTGCCGTACCGGATAAAGGTGTGTAACTTGACGGGGTGTAAGCGAACCCGATGCTCCTAACTCCCGTAATCCACTGAACTGAAAAGCGGGGCGGTGCATTGGCCTGCCCCGGACTGGCTGGGTGAGAGTGGGAGAGAGAGGGAGAGTGTGTGTGTGTGTGTATGGCGCACGCTGGGCAGCTAGCTGAGCTAAAACATGAGCTAAGTGTGTTTTGTTAAATATAGGTTGCTCTGTGTTTAGTTTGTATTGTATTTACGCTGAGCAATACACTATGTGCACATTGAACAGCGCTCCTCGAGGCCTGTGTTGATGTAAACTACTGAGGGGGCTGTGCACCGACATCGGCATATGGTTGTGGCTGGGGGGGAAAAGCCGGGAACTGGATGGCCGGGAATGTGGCGGGGTGGAGGAAAGGTGGAGGTGGTTTCGCTAAGGCGCTTTCCCCCTGGCGCGTGTGACATCCCTGACACTGTATGTATGTATGTATTGTGTGTGTCCCTCCTTTATTTGCCGTGCTCTTCTTCCTGCCCGCTGCGTCATTCTCGTCTTCTCCCCCTCTTCGCACCATCACCATCACCATCACCATCCTCAGGCGGTCACCAACCCGACCAATACGGTGTATGCCACGAAGCGTTTGATCGGTCGCGGCTTCGATGATCCACAAACGCAGAAAGAGGCCAAGGTGAGGTGGGCCGTGGGGGTGTTTGTGTGTGTATGTATTTATGTGTGTGTGATGGATGGGGGGCGTGGATGAGAGGCGTGTGTACGTGTGATGGCGGGAAAGGTAAGTCGTGTAAGTGGATGGTACGTCGTGTGCCCCGGTGTGCGGGAATAATAACTGCGTTGTGTGTTGTGTGTTTTTAAATGCTGAGCTGACTGCTTTGCTCAGCCGTGCTTTGCTCAACCTACTCGCCTACGCGCGCGCGTGTGTGTGTGTGTGCAGATGGTGCCGTACAAGATTATCAAGGCCAAGAACGGGGATGCCTGGGTGGAGGTAAGCGAGAGTGTGTGTGTGCGTGTGTGTGTATGTATGTGTATGTATATGGTTGGGAAAGGGGATTGGGCATCCGAGAGCTTCTTGGTGGTGAGGTTGTCTTGATGGGCAGCTATCTGGTTTGTCCAGGGGGAAAGGGGTAAACCATTTGTCCCGTCTTTCCCTGGGTTGGGGGTCCTACTGTGGGCTAGGAGGGCGGCGGCAGCGGACCGGACCTGCAGCTCCACTGCCCCACTGAAAGCTCTTCAGTATAACGGTGGCAGAGGACCTGATGTAAAGCGGTAGGGGCCCGACTCCCAAGTTCGGTTCGGGGCCTTTCGAAACGATGAAAAGGTGCTTTCCTGCTAGAGGATGCTCGCTCAGCTGTCGGAGCGCAACACCCGCATCACCTTCAGAGCCGCGTCGCCGGAAGTCTCCAGAACTCTCAAGAACCAACCACTGTCGACCTTGACACAGGCTTTGTGCGCGATGTATTAAGATATGACCAGGCAAACACGACACCCAAGGCACACTGTCGCCTTTCCCATGGCGTCGTCGTCGCCTAACGAAACAGGCTTCCGCTGCAACGTCACCACCACCACCACCACCAGTACACCTAGAAGAGCTGCTGGTGGTGGTGTTGCGGCTGCGGCTTTCTAAATATTTTCCATCCTCCCTACATATGGTTTATAGCACGGGTGAATGAAACATCTTGGCACTATGCGGCCGTCACTCCGCATGCACTTTTCCAGGACCCGCATGTAACAACACCCCATCGCCACCTCCCCACGTCGCCTCCCCCTTATGCCCCCCCGGCCGCGCCCTCACACTCCTCCCCCCCTCCTCAGGCTGGCGGTCAGCAGTACTCCCCAAGTCAGATGGGGGCCTTCGTGCTAACTAAGATGAAGGAGACGGCGGAGGCGTATCTCGGTCACCCCGTTTCGAAGGCGGTCATCACCGTGCCAGGTGTGGTGTGGCGTGGTGTGGTGTGGTGTGGTGTCGGGGGCGGGAGGGAGGGGAGAGGGGAGGGGGCGTGTGAGGGACATGGGTGCAGATTGAAGGGTGGAGTAGTGACGGGCAGGGTTTTAGGGTTTCGGCCATGCTCGGGGAAAAAAAGGAGGGGACCGTGGGAGATGCAGGGAAATGCAGATTGTGTGTATTGGGGAATGGGACCGGTAGGGGAGCACGGGTGGGAGATGGGGAGATGGGGAGGGGGAGGGGGATGGCAGAGCGTGGGCCCCACTGACACCTGAAGGTAGTTGTACGGGATTAGTATTCGGGGGTGGGGGTTGACCGACATGAGTAACGTAGGTGTTTTCCTCCAGCTCCTCCTCCAGGAGTGGTGAGAGGGGAACGCAGGTCACCCCGACCCACAGGGCCCCGTGTGTTACCCCCACCTGCTCTGGGGGGCTCGTGTACCCACATCGGCAGCGGTCGCTTACACCACCAGGGGCACCAGGACACTGCCTGTCGTACGCCGCGTGATGGGATTCCAGCTCCTCACCCGTTTTTTTGCTCTCTTTTATCATGGTGGTCCATATCCCCCGCCCCGCCCTGCTGCTCGCCGGGATCTTTTTATGCGTCTGTGTGTGTCTCTGTCGCCACGCCGCCCTCTCCCTCTTGCCGGTGCCTTTTCTGCCTCCCTCTTTCGCCCCCAGCGTACTTTAACGACTCGCAGCGCCAGGCCACGAAGGATGCGGGCCGTATCGCGGGGCTGGAGGTAAGCGGGCTTCCCGGCTGCGTCGGCCTGTCTGTCTGTCTGTCTATCAGTCAGTCTGTCTATCTGTATGCCTAACTGTCTGTATGTCTTGTCTCTCTCTTTGACTGGCTGGCTGCATCTCTGAGATCGGAGCGTGTCTGTTGGTATTCTATTCACGAAGTCGATTGTAACTGTGCGCGTGAGACCTAACTATGTGGCAAGAGGTGTGAAATTAATGGAAAGCTTATCATATCATCCTTCGTTAAGATTAGTTCGGTTATGACCAGAGTGGTTTTTATCCTTGAAGAAGTTATTTGTGTGTTTGGCACTGCTCTGTGCCTTGGGTAATAAGGCTCTTTCCAGAAGTGTTCCAACTACCACAACCAAAACACAACAACTCGTTTTAAACTAACAAAAAGGTCTACGTGTACACGGTAACAAATCACTCAAAACAACAATCCAACAGGTTCTCCGCATTATTAACGAGCCCACAGCCGCGGCGCTTGCGTACGGCACTGACAAAAAGGAGGGCCTTATCGCGGTGTACGATTTGGGTGGCGGTACCTTCGATATTTCCATTTTGGAGATCATGGGCGGCGTGTTTGAGGTCAAGGCCACCAATGGAGACACGTTTTTGGGTGGGGAAGATTTCGACAACACCATTCTCAACTACCTGGTCACGGAGTTTAAGAAGGAGACTGGGATTGACCTTTCGAAGGATCGGTTGGCGGTTCAACGGTTACGGGAGGCTTCAGAGAAGGCCAAGTGCGAGCTTTCTTCAACCAACTCAACTGATATCAACCTTCCCTTCATCACGGGTATGTCCGTGTGCTGCTTGTGTGTGTTGGAGTTTTCTTTTTTTTTGTGTGTGTGTGAATTGTTTTTGAGCATATTTCGGCCAGTGCATGTTTTAGGTGTGTGAGGAGGAAGATTCACATGTCCTACATGGAGCGAGGGGAGGGGTGGTTCGGAGGAAAGGAAGTTCTGAGTGTCCCTAGGGGTTCGTTTGTTACATTTGACATGTACTTCGCCAACTTTTTGTAGCTGTAACCCCCCCCTCCCCCCGTCCCTATTTCAAGGCCGCGCCTGCTCGCGCATACACGTTCGACTCTCATCCCCAGCTGTTAATTTGTTTTCGTTTCCTCTTATTTTTCTGCTGTGCGCGCGCAGCCGACGCTTCTGGTCCCAAGCACTTGAACATGGCCCTCACTCGCGCCAAGTTGGAGCTGTTGGTGAAGGAGCTGTTGGAGCGCACCAAGCAGCCCTGCTACCAGGCCATGAAGGACGCGGGGGTGCAGCCCAAGGACATACAGGAGGTGCTGCTGGTGGGCGGCATGACGCGTATGCCCAAGGTAACAGACCCACCACATGCACACGGCATACACGTGATGCCGTACCTCCCCGTGTACGAGTCCTTAAACTAGGAAAGCACGGGCGCACGTTGCGATTTTCGCAATGCATCCATGTGCTCATTTTCTTCCCGCGCCCCCTGCCTACCCCCCCCCCCCCCCCGACGGGCAGTCAGCTTCACTCGATTGTGGTTCGTCTTCCCCCCGACGGGCCCTCCGTGCCACCGCAGGTTAACGAGATCGTGAAGGAGATCTTCCAGCGCGACCCCTCCAAGGGCGTCAACCCGGACGAGGTGGTGGCCATGGGAGCCGCCATTCAGGGCGGAGTGCTGCGGGGGGATGTCAAGGTGGGATTGGGGATATGAAGGGTTGGGTGCTGCGAGGTGGCTGACAGGTGTTGTGTTTTCTGTGTGTATGTGTGTATATGTGTATGTATATGTGTGTATGTATATGTGTGTGTAGCTGTCTCCCTTTCTGTACAGCTCCTAATCCTTCCCGGTCGCTTGAGAGTCCAGTTGACCAGCACCCCAAAAACCCTCCCAACCCGGTTTTACGTCAACTGCCACTCCCCCGAACACAAACTCAAAACTCCCCCATATTAAACTCACCTCAACCCCACCCTCACCCCGCAATCCTTCTCGTACGGCACCCAACACCACGCCTTACAGGATATTTTGCTTCTGGACGTGACCCCCCTCTCCCTGGGCATTGAGACGCTGGGCGGTGTGTTCACTCGCATGATCAACCGCAACACCACCATCCCCACCAAGAAGTCCCAGGTCTTCTCCACAGCGGCGGACAACCAGACGCAGGTACTCGTACTCGTGAGGGGGGAACACGTGGACCGGGGGGCCGGGAGGGGGATTGAAGGGAGGGGGTTGAGGGGGAAAAGCGGGGAGGGGGGAAAGGGGGGGGTTGAGGGTTTTGGTTTCGGGGAGGCCCTTTGGTGTTTGTTGTTTTGGTGACCTCGGGACACACGTCCACACATGCATACAGACACATACAGACAGACACACAGACAGACGTGCCATACTGCGTATTTCCTCTTTCCCCCGCGTCCTAACGGTCCTAACGAACCCACAACGTCCCCCAGGTGGGCATCAAGGTCTTCCAGGGCGAGCGCGAGATGGCGGCGGACAACAAGCTGCTCGGCCAGTTCGACCTGGTGGGCATTCCTCCATCTCCTCGCGGTGTGCCGCAAATCGAGGTGACGTTCGACATCGACGCCAACGGCATTGTGCACGTGTCCGCGAAGGACAAGGCCACGGGCAAGGAGCAGTCTATCCGCATCCAGAGCAGCGGCGGCTTGAGTGAGGATCAGATCCAACAGATGGTTCGCGATGCTGAGACGTATGCGGAGAAGGACAAGACACGCAAGGAGCTGATTGAGGTGCGCGAAAAGTGGATCTGAATCTGGATCCAAATCTGCATGTCGATCCTTTCTTGAGTGTTTAAAAAGAAGCTTGGAAAGCGGTTGTAACGAACCCGAGAAGAAAGGGCGGCGTGTGTCTTGGCTGGCTGGCTGGCTGGCTGGTGGTTTTGTGTGTTGTACCCTGCCTTGCCTCAGTCGGTCAGCCGCTCAGCCGCTCTTGGTCTCCGCCCCGGCCCCCCCCCTTCCCGGCCCCCCAGGCTAAGAACGAGGCAGACACGGCAATTTACTCAACGGAGAAATCTCTTAGCGAGTACAAGTCCAAGTTGCCCCAGGTGCGTTGTAGGTCTGTATGTCTTGTGCGCCGAGGGGAGGGAGAAGTGGCTGGGGAGGGAGGGTTATGGGGCACTTTTTGCTCGGGGGGTTGCCGCGGAGTCGGGATGTGGGGTATCGTCGGGTTTAGATAATTTGCGTTACGCTTTAAAAATTGCAAGTTGTCGTGCAAGGGATCCCCTCTCCGGATCTGAGGTCCCAGGATGGGGGGTGGAGGGGGGAAAGAGAAGGGGCAGGAGGTGTTGGGGGACCTGTGCGCCCCCTTCGTCGCCCACTCCAGCTCTCCACCCTTATCTCCCTTCTCACTCTTATCACTCTTTTATCACTCATCTGAACGAATACCTGTATCGGCAATGTGCTACATCCCCTTGACGACGGACGCAAACGCAGCCTTTGTTTCAATTCCCAACTATGCGCTCACTGGCTATCTGTCGCAGGCGGTTGTGGACGAGATCACCAAGGCCATCGCGGACTGCCGGGCTGCCTCCCAGGTGGGTCGGGGTGAACAGTACATCATAGCGCCTTGGGGTTTGACGGTTGACAGTTGGTGGCTGGGAAATGTTTTCGATTTAAGGTTGTGAGCATAGACGGCGGGGTGACTGGCGGCTGGCGAGGTTCAGTTCAAGAAGCGGACGGGTCGGGGTCGGGGTCGGGGTCGGGGTCGGGGGGGATGCAAAGCCACAGGGGAGAGCTGCTGCAAATGGTGTGAGGACCCCCCCCCCGGACAACATGTTGGCTGCTGCTTCCTGGAACCTGCCATGCAACCACCTCACCTCACCTCACCTGCAATCCGGGTCCCTTACAACAGGCGGAGGATCTCGTTGATCTGAAGGCCAAGATCCAGGCGCTCAGCACGGCGTCCATGAAGATCGGGGAGACGCTCTCACAGCAGTCGGGAAGCGGCGGCAGCAGCGCCAGCAGCGGCTCCTCCTCTTCCTCCTCATCATCGTCCACGGATGCAGGGTCTGGGGACCAGAAGTAAAGCGCGTCTGTGCGTCTGTACGTCTTGTCTGCGGAGAATGAAGATATATGGGAGATGATGCGCCTTCATCCTGTCTTGCGGGCGGACAAGGGGGGTTGGGGGTCCTAGGGGCTGTGGGGTATTGACGGATTGGATGTGGGTCATTGTTTTAGAGTGGAGGGAGAAGATGTGGATGTGGTGGAGTCATTGGTTGAGCGAGAGGAGGTGGGGACGCAGAGGGAACGGCGACGCGGAGGTGTACTGTGTGGATGTGCGGATGTGGAGGGTTTCGTGATTGGGGAGGGGAAGAGTTGGGGGAGTGGGGCCCGGCTCGTCAAAGAAGCGTCAGCACTTACTTACCGCGTGTGGCAGGTTTTCGCGTGCAGAAGTCGCAGGTGGGGATGGGGGGTTGTATGACGGATGTGTGCAGGGGGGTTGCGTGATGGTTAGCACAACAGAGATACCAGTGTGCTGCCGTGTCCATGTCTGTGTATGTACGCGTGTGTATGTACGTGTGTGCGTGTGTGTGCCATTCGTTTTGTTTTCGGGTTGTCAGGCGAAAGGTTCAGGTTGCCATTTCGCCATTTGTCGGGGAGAAAAGTTAACGGAATGGGCGCGCGCAGATGTTTGTGTGTGTGTATTTGTTACACATCTGCCTGGCCTGACACCGACTGGGGCACCTAACCGTGTAGCCCATCGGGAAGACCGCCGAAGCACTCTGCTCCAGTTGCAGAAGGGCCTGTATTGTGTGTGTGTATGAAGGGGGAGGGGGAGGCCTAAGTTGGGCTTTGTTTCGATCTTTCGCTGTCTGTTGACGCAACACGAGTGCGTCCTGGCCGCGCTGTAGGAGCTCTGTCGGTAGCTGCCGCCCGTCTGTCCTGGTTTGGTCATCAGGGTGACTTAGCTTCCCACAGAGCCACTGCTGTCTGTCTTGATGTTCCATGCAAAGTATAAAATCAGAAGTGTGTGCGTGTGTGTCTGTTTGTGTGTAGAGAGAGAGTTTTGCTTGGAAGTTGTTGACGATTACGTGATGGTGCGCTACATGACACGTACATGAGCACACGGCACGGCTAAGGTTTTTAAGTCCGAAGGTGGATCGTAAGAGGACTCCGGGAAGGATGTGGTTAGTTGGTTTGCTCGGTCGGTTGTAGGTTGTTTGGTTGCGTTTCTGGTGTTGTTTGTGGCCCTTGTCTGAGTCGGTACGGAAGATGATATGCTGTCTTGTGCAACGGTTGGCGGTTGACGGTTTGTATCTCCAGGTGGGGTTTGGCTGAGGCGAGGTAGGTATGTCGGAGGCTTTGGTAGAGGGGGAACGAGAGAGAGAGGGAACCCGAAGGTGTGCGTTGCGGTTTGAGGAGGCCATTGCGGCCACCTCTTTGGCGATGTGCACGGTTGAGAGTTAAATCGCTGAGAGTCAGAGAACGAGCGCTGCCGTACATTCACCAGACCCTTCCCGAACAAATGCCATGGAGCTGTCCCGCCCGACCTGGAGCTGTCCCGAGGGGGGGGGCCTGAGGGTGTGTTGGCAGCAGCAGCAGCAGCTGGTGGGCTGGGAGGAGCAAAGCCTGGAGATGTGTGATTGTATGTGTGTGAGTGTAGTTTGTGTTCGCGAAGTTTGGAAGGGAAGAGGGAGACGAAGGTGCCTTGCGCTGTCCTTACGCCGGGTCGACAACACCGCCACTCTCACCCTCCGCGCCCCAATCGACTGCAATGGATCTCATCACATCCCTCCAGACTACCACCGATCACGGTGAAGGGGAAACGCAATATATGCGCAGTAAATGTCAGCGCTTATGTTCTGCGGCGACCAGTTTTCTTTTGAAGCTACTACTACTGCCATTCCTGCCGCTGCTGCTGCTGCTGCTACGGGTTCTGAACTGCTGATGCCGCTGGGTCTGTAATGGCCCCCTGCCGACCTTGCCATAGCCACTGCTAGCTGCCAGTACCCCAGTGCCTCTACCTCGGTGTGTGAAACGTCGAAGTATTGGAAAACTGTGATAGACTGAGTGACTGCGCGGTGATGCGTTGAATACGGCGGTCATTCGTTCAGTTGACGATTTGGCGACGGAAGGTTGCGGTACGATTGGTGGGTGTGTCTTTCGTGGACACCGCTGAGGCCGCGCTGTTTCACGCCTATCCGCGCTGTCCCACCGCACCCCCTCGCAAAGGAGAAGAGTCCCCATAAGCAGCAGCTAGCCCCTGTCCGCCTCGCCACGTCACAACAATTTCATGCCACAACAATTTCATGCGACCGAAAGCGGTGGCGACATGGGAGATCTTGACCTCTCGCTCCCGTGCCATGGATTGCAGAGCCGATAGGTATTAGTGGAGTAAGCATACTTGATCTATGGTATGGAAGCGCAGTACTTGGTAGGGTAACCCTTCGGTAGGGTAACCCTGCCGAGACCCCACCCTACCAACCGGTTCGGTCCGGTGACCGATCGGTGACCGGTCGAATGTATGTATGTCATAGGGCCATACACCCTTCTCTCTATCCTTCCACCCCTCCCTTCATACACCCCTCTCCCCATACGCCACGCGCTCCCTCCCTCCCACTGTCCCTCCTTTTCCGTACATCTAGCTCCCTCCGTACATCCCTCCCTCCTCCGACCGTCGGTAATCGACCGGTTGGCTAGAACCCAACCGGTTGCTTCGGTAGGGTAACCAACATTTCGAGATAACGACCAGGTAAACCCGGTGGGACCCCAGCAGGCAACGGCTAACGCTTTGGGCACTTCGGGACGTTCCGAAATCCGAAACCAGGAACAGGGTTCCCAAAACCGACGCGCATGCAGGAATAGGACTATCCGCCTACAACCCCGTACGAAAGCTTCTCCACAGCCCGAAGGGGCCCCCCGGCGGCCGGAGCTGGGAGGATGGCTACATCTATGTTAATTGCAATGTGTAACGTCAGCTTACTTCGGCTGCAGCAGCCGAACCAAGAGTAGTGTCGCGCCACACAACTCTAACAATCTAACGGCGCCGGATTACAGCGAGCTTGTTTTAGAGGTCATGTTCCGAAATGTCACGACCTGGAAGCCCTTACAGCCCACCAGCACCAAGGCGCATCCTGGTGACGCAGTTTTATAATTTCGGACCGTCGGACTTTGGAGGTGTTCGATGAGTTTGGAAATAAAGCGTAGAACCTTAGCGATCGAACCGTCCAACTCCAATCCAATGACGTCGTACATTGAGCCCGTACAAATGACGCCATGCAATGGAAGCATATATATAATCTGCGCCACGACCCCATTCAGAACGAGCACACTTAGCAAGATCACCTGAGGGTGATTTACTGTACATAAACTTAGGGTTTTAGGGTACAGCGAGGGGATATATCTAGGTGCCCAATTTGTGCTGGTAGTGTTGTCCACATTTCTGATCAGCTATGCTGCTTCGACCCACTCCGAAGAGACCACGCCGCGGCATGATGGGCTGTGTTCTTCCCTCCACTTCACTGTTCCTGCTCCTTCTCCTCCTTCCGCTGCTCGCCACGTATGCCGACCAGGGGGCGGACGTCAGGTGAATGTGGGCGAACGAACACTCTAAGAAATGGTGGAATGGAGTCTCCCAGCTGGGACACAAACGAAGAGTAGTCGGCGTGCATCATAAACAGCTAATGTGCTGGCAAACCCTTGCGGACCTGGCCATGTTTGCACTCGCCCATGCCCACTGACACAACGAGCTTCCCGGGCTCCTTTTGTCTTGAACACGTCTTTTGCTTTGTCATGTTATTTGCATGTGTATGACCACCTCTACGATACGCCGCCGCTGAACGGCGGCACGATGTGGTGGGTTCCTGCAGGAGGAGCCTCCTGCAGAAGTCCTGCCTTGACTGGTCGGACACCGCGGCTTCAGCCATTGCGGAGGCCGCCTGTCTCCGTGCCAGCGGCGACTGTCCGCGACCGACCCTGGGGTCGCAGTCGGGCGACAACCCCGCCAACCCGCTGGACCGGCTAGGCGGCAACTGCTACACAACCAACAAGGACCAGTGCCTCACACAAGCCCGGGGCTACATTTCGGTAGGGATAGGAAGAAATTGCCTGTTGAGAGACAGGGTTAGCGCAAAAGCATATGTTGTACTGGTCAAACATGTACGGCACTGAGCTTGCTTCAACACCGGACGGTGGCTTAGCGAGGCAATGCCATGGCTGAAGGGCGATTGTTGAGCTGTATGGGAAGGGAAGGGAAGGGGCAAGTAATACTGTCTTAAATTATTTAAGTAAGATGTTGATAGGTGTTGCCAAACACCTTTTTGATTGAGCCACCTTCAACATCATGTCTTCCATCATCCATCAAAAAGCTTTGACCTTGTTGTACTTCACTGCGCAGGGTGGCTACGGAATGTGCGAGCCTGCGCTCACCGGTATTGGCCCGTGCAGTGACGATGAATTCAACGTCCTCGCTGAGAAGTACCTCAGGAAGCTTTGCGCACAGGCAGGGAATGCGGACCCGCTGACGCTGCCCTGAGTGTGTGGACACACCTTTCGTAGGGCGTAGGTACGCCCCCTTACCATCAGGACAGTGCTCAGCCTTTTACCCGCAACGTCGTACAACCCGCGTTCCTTGTCGAATTCTTATCGGAGGATGCGAGGCCGGCGGACGTACGAGGATGGCCCGATATCTTTTTTTTCGTTTTGTTCAATAAAAGATCCTAGGGAGGGCAGTAGAAGTATGAAGTGTGAAGTATGAAGTATGAAGGCTCGTATTGTTGCTGCCTGGGTCTGGTGGGGACTAGCAGGTCGACCAGGTCAACATATCAACCCATTTTGAAAAATCGAAAGGGTGAAGTCCATCAGGTCCTAAGCCTGTGAGCAGCAGGCTAGATACTGCATGATATCTTACAAATGATTATGTTTCGCTTTATCTTGAACATTTTGTTGCACAGAAGTGCTCGTAAGGAGACGTACTGGCTAGTATGTGAGTTAGCATGTGCAGGATTCAAAATGGCAGTATACCACAATCCGCAGGTGGTACGACGCTATTGTTTTTGCAGACGGAGGTTAATTGTATGCCGTGTCATTTGCTGGTGGGTACGCCTGAGAGGCGTCTAGTGGTCTGCGATGAGTTGCGGTGGTGTTGCTGAAGTCAATGTTGTTTTTTCTTAGTTGACACAGCAAGATGCTTGCGTAATGCTAACCGCTTGATGTCTAATGGTCGGTTAAGCTGCGTAGGCATGAAACCATTACGTGAGGATGTAACGCGCGAGACAACAAGCGAATGACGTGACATGGGCTTTTGCCGTATCGGCGTGCAAGCGGTAATGTCCGGGTTAACTCTTCTCCCTACACGTCAAGCTGGACATCACATACACTTGCAATTTGCATACGGCATAAGTATAACTACTTCGCACTACAGAAAGCTTAAAATAAGTAATGCAGGTCTGCAACCCTGCACGCATTGTCGCTTACTTCGCGTGCGTGCAACCAGCAGCTGTTGTAGCAATAACAATGTCAAGCAGCCGACACTTTCGTGCCTTTAGAGCTGCACTCCATCCACCAGACGAGCAACTGCTACTGTGCTACTCATTCCTTAGACATGGTTACGAAATGCTGCGCTGGAGGAAGGGAGGATAGAGACGCAGGCACCCTTAAGCGCGCGTGTGGAGGAATACGTGGACACAGGGTACATATAAACGTTGGTACGGGAGGACCTTGCAAGCTTGCATGGGAGGCGTAGGTTTAAAAGACACACGGCAGTAGTTCAGTACGGACGCAGCAGTTAGAAACAGGCCACGAACTTTACAGCCAGACACATACTAATTTTAGGCTTTTGCGGATTCAAATTCTGTATCATTCCTTATTGTATAATTGCGAAGCTCTGTTGCGATTTACGGTAGCCCAGGGCTAATTGCTTACACGGAGGCCCCGCAAAGAATCAGCTGACTGATGTTGTTTTAGGCATATTTAGCCTTAAATATGCACCACTTACCTCTGAAATCTGTGATTTGCTGCTATCGGTCATGACGTCGATAGGCTAAGCTAGGCTGTGGAGTAGTCTAACCTAGAATGGCCGATTTAGAGCTAAGCAAGCAGTAACAGCACAACTATTAGGCAGAAAACAGAGAGCACACCGTGAAGCAGGGGACAATGCTTTCGCCACATACGAGCCAGCAGCCACATCTCACGCGACGGGCCACCCACGCAGTCACCTTTGCGTCGCGGGGTAGCTCGGCCCGCGCCCCTGCAGGAGATGCACCGTGGCGCAGTGTTCTCGGACCAGAGAGTCGTCTGCCCAATGTGTTCTGGGGGGTAAGCGAAAAGTACCATCCTAGGGTCCTTCACCTATAGCGTAGGAGCCAAGCCTTGACAGGTGTGTGAGGGGGCTAGGGGGCTCGTCCGAGGGCGGGGTCTGGGGCACGCCGCCCGGTTAAACTTCCCTAGTTTACCCCCCAGCCACCCTGTTAACCTAATCTTGCAACAACCGGAGGCTATAGGGCAGTCTGTGCCCCGCTCCCAGCCTCCCCCTTGAACGACCGCGCAGTCTGGTCCAGTGAACCGCGTGTATACCGGTTGTGCTTCGCATCCTCGGAAATTACTTAACGGCCAGAATGGGGACATAGCTTGCCGCGATAGCCTAAGTGTCCTGGGGCCCCTGGACCGCCAAGCCCAATAATACCGCCAAGCCACTTTACAAGACAAGAAAAAACATCAGGCCTTTGCACTGACTTCCTATAAAAAAAACATGTTGCAGTGCTTCCGGATGCTGTTCCTCAGGTAACCGCTGTCGTGTAATTACATACCTACCTACATACCTACATACGTACCTGCCGCAGGCCGTCTCGCCTGGCTCGCTGAGACGAATGTCGTACTATACGGCACTTCCGCCAGTGGAGCTGTTGGTTCTAGCAGGCGAAGCCACGTACAGGTGCTTATGCGCATAGGTGCAGCTGGACACAGCAAAACCAGAAAAGCGAGACCAGAACCAGGGCAAGGCTGAGCGCGTATATCCCCCAACAAATCGACCTCAGGCAAATCAACCTCGTAGTTCGTCGTCAGCACGTTCGGCGCGTTGGCCCCTCACTTTTTTTTCTGCACGCATGCATTATCGATTCGCGATCTCTTTGGGTCCTGAGCTTACAACGCTACAACTCGTTAACTGTGGCTGTGGGCCGTATGTATGTATGTACGTACGTACGGCAGGTATGTACGGCAGGACACGGCCCTCTGGTCGGCTCTTCATGGCGGTCGTCTCACCACCAGCCGCCTGAAGGACGCACTGGGGCTCCGAGACCAAACTGCATCGCGAGTCGTGGGGGGGCCGCAGGTACGTGTAGCACTAGTAACACAGACGGGGGTTGTGAGAATGATAAGGATTTGGCATATGGTGCTATTAGTCACAGGTGTGACTGTGGATGGCTGTCGACGGCTGTCGTGGCCCATCGGTGGGTCGGACGGCAAACAGCACGATGGGCACGTTGTTGGGTTATATTTCAACGCCACCAGTGAAACACTGCGACCCACGCGAGCCCATCGTGCTTCTGCCCGAGTTTTCATGGTCGGCACGTGCACGGCGGCTGCAAATGCACGGAAATGCAAAAATACCTGGACATCACAGCCCTTCCACATCTCGTTCTGCCGTACTGCCATCATAGCCACCCGTATATGTAACTGCCGAACGGGCCGGCCTCGTGCTGTTCATCATCTACGAGTTTTAAAAAGTCTCTGGGGCCATCTGGGGCCCGAATTTCGCCGTTTCGCTACATGCGCTGCTCAAATATCACCGGGTTGGGAAAGTGAAGGTCCCTTACAAAGTCGGCCTGTCTAGTCTCCCCCTTGTGCAATACCTCCGCTACCGCCGGCCCGCTACGGCTATGGCACGCCCGCCGGTCCGCCCTGCTTGCTCGCATGCACCACCCCTGGCCTTGTCTGGCCCTGCTCGCTTTTACAAGCACCACGTGTAAAAAACCGCCGTACAGTATCCCGAGCTGGGCGTCGTACAGGCCTACACCCACCTGCTACAGCCGCCGTACGTTCCGCCTCCTTCCCCTCTGGGAGCCGCCGACGGCCAACGCTCCGAAACCGAGGCGTTACAGCTCAATGAGGCGGCCCGCTTGCAGTACAATGCGGCGATGGGAACAGCGGAGGGAGAGTCCGCGCCGCTGGAAGAGTGTTTTGAGGGCATCGGAGCGAGGGGAACGAAGGGGATGAAGGCAGAGTCTGGGCGGTCCTGGGCGGGCCGCCCATCTGGCGGCGGTAGCGGTGGTGGTGTAAGGGGCCGCAGCAGAAGTGCAGTTGAAGGAGGGGGAGGTGGTGCGGCGGAGGCGGATGAGGAAGAGGGATGGAGCCGGGCAGGTGCGTGCCGACATTATGTCGGCAGATGGGTGTAGGGACGGTAGTGGACGTTTAGTGCACTGGCGGCGACATTGTGCTGCAGAAAAGACCGGAACGCTTTGCTTGGCTGTCCTATCCATTGTCATGCGCGTAGCCGTTATCTACGTCTGTCTGTCTGTCTGTCTGTATTAGTGGTGCATCGTATATGTACGTGCGTTTGTGTGTTCCTGAACAGACAGACAGACAGACAGACAGCTGTTATTGTTGTGTGGTCCTACAGACCGGCGACGCATCAGCGAGCTGGCTGCTCTGGCGGTGGGCGCAGCGGGAGCTGTTCGGATGCGGCTGCTGTGGGGCACCTTGCAGGTGCGTTGCCAGCCAGCTAGCCAGCTAGCTGGGTATGAAAGTCCGTGTGCATCCGTACACTGTACGTGTGATCGATACACAGCAGCTCTATTTTGCTGCGTGCGTTTTCCCCCTCCCCTCCTCGCACTTCAAAAACTACACCTCAGGGCACCTCTCTCCCGTACAACCATGTTCCCCCACATCCATCCTCATGGGCATCCCCTTCGCGTGCATAATATGACTACGGGGTGGACATGGACTGCATGTATCAATGGGTGGGTGGATGGATGGATGAATGAATGGATGGATGGATGGATGGGTGGATGAATGAATGGATGTATGAATGGATATATGAATGGATGGATGGATGACGGTGGGTGCCCCCCCCGCCCGATCAACCACAGGAAGCGGCGGCTGTAGCCACACTAGCCACTCTGTATCCCGATTCGCAGCTTGAGGAGGTGAGCAAACAAACTACTGTGCGCTTCCCATTGCCGTACTGCTGCGTGACCCGAATTGCCGAGTGTTAACTGACGAAGACTGTAGATAGACTTTATGAACTCAACGCTGTGTGAAGATACCCTTGGAGAACAGTATTCTGTGTGAGTTTGTGAATTTGCGTTTAGCGCTGTCTCGTTTGTCGGTTGTCGCGCGTCAGGGGGGGGGGAGACTTCGCTATTGAGGATTTTGTAGGAGTACGGTTGTAGGTATAATTTCTTAGTTTGTTAATTAGTTGGTAACCCTCATTTCTTGACACCATTCCAGTGTGGGCTGTTAATGTCATCCCTCTGGCACACATATGTCCATTCAGCAGCTCCCCCTTAAGTCGGTGGATTAGGCTCGCCCTTACGTTGCTTCCCTCAGCAATTATCACATTTTCCTCGATGTATCGCAGGTACCGGTGTTTGTTTTTCCTTGATTACGTCGTAGGGCGTAAGGTGACACTCGGTTTCTGTTTCCCGTAACCCGAGCTCAATAATGCCACAAAATCGCGCCACAAAAATCGCTTCCAGGGATGGGGTGGTTGGCTAGTGGGTTGCCTGTATGTGTCGGTCGTGTGTTCAGTCTGGTTGGAGTTTTGTGCCCCCCGCTGTACCCCACTGTATCCCTGTCCGTATGTACGTACGTACGTATGTATGTATGTAGGTGGGCCTGCTCTGCCTGTCGGACCCGCGGAAATGGGGTGTCGAGCCGCACGAGCTGCCCCCCCTCGGTGCGTGTGTATGTTAAGTATGTATGTTTGGGTGGGTGCGTGTGTCAAAAAATTTAAAACATATATCAAATGGAAGATATATAATACACCAGTAATACGTCCAGCAATTCGGTGCATGTATGTGTGGGTGGGTGGGTGCGTGTCGTCAACCCGCCCTTTTAAGGCAAACCACGCACATGTCTGTGAGCAGCAATAGCAGCAGCAGCAATAGCAGGCAATTGACACGTGCACATACAGACAAACTGGTTCCTCAGCGGGTCTTCGCAGACCACTGAACGGATGTGATGGTGCCGGGCCGGGAGCACCGGGGGCACCGGCCGGTGGATGACTGGAGGTGCTCAACGAAACGGGTGCTGGGGCTATCATTGGGGTTCATTGGAGTGCGGGACGGCGCAACGTTTTTCATTATGTTACTTATATCCTTCCGTTCGCGAGTGCTTTGTTTAAGCCCAGATTCCATCCCATCGCTCCTGCATACTACCACTGTGGGACAGCAGGGGCATCCCCCGACGCGCTAATCACACATAATGTTCTCATTACCCGTCGGGACGTTGAGGTACGTGGGTTTTGCAAGTTGGTAGTTGCGAGTTGAAGAAGCACACACACACACACACACGCATATATCTGACCCAGCGGCCAGTAACGTTCAATGGGGGGCCCCCATGCGAAGAAGATCAGTGAGGATTACTAGCCAGCTGGTCGGTGTAGCTCAATTAGTTGGACATAGCTTTCTTCTCTTTTCTCGTGTTGGGTGATGATGGGATCACAGTCGTTGGATTTCTTTTTTTAATCCATTAACCCGGACACACAGCCCTCGGTCTCCTCCGGGCCCTTGGGCTCCCTCATCAGAGCTCTCCACGTACACATACATACATACGTACAGATACACACAAGCGTCTGCATTGCGATGCTTTGTTCGCGACCCGCTCGCCCACCATGCGCTCCCCTCCGGTTGCTTTGAAGGCAGCTCGAGCCGAACTGATGCGGTCGACTGCCGCAGTCAACAGCCAGCAGGTCATACTGGGCCAACAGGGCAGTAGGGGCGCGGCGGCGTCACAAACCATGCGTGAGGCGGCGCATGGGGTGGCCCGTGCCGTACTCCGTGCAGCGCTGGTACGGCACACGCAACCGGCGCTGTCACTGCCGGCAACGACGACGGGAACTAACATCCCGACGGCAACATCAACCATCTTAGGCACTTGCAGCAGCAGTGGTAGTGATGGCAGCAACGGTGGTGGTGCCGTTGGCGGCGGTGGCGCTACAAGGCTCGCGCCATCAGCCACAACACACCCGCAATACCGTGGGGCCAGCAGCTCCCCCTTCACTACGACTGGAACTCGTAGCAGTGGCGACGGCATCCGTACTTTGCCCATGCGGCCCCCCGTTGGGTCGTCTCGCGATGCGCCGCCGCCGTTGTTTGCGTGTGGCTGGGATGCGGCGCTGGATTGGCTGGTGACCGAGCTGCTGCGGCTTAGGTATGACGGTGTTGGCACCGAAGACGACGGCCACGCGGCGGGCCCGTTAGCCTGCCGAGCTCGAGGATTGGACACGGTGATGGCCGTTGTTCAGCTGCGGGAGGTCGTGGAGGTGAGGCAATCCACCACACGCAGGTTTCCAGTCATCTTTTCAATTTTGTCTACTTCCTTTTTTAGTTGTTACCTTTCGTTCAGTTGCAGTTACCTTTTACGTTACTACCTGTTATTCAGTTGGTATCTTCTAATGGCCTTCTGTGGCAACGGCCGGTACCAAGGCAGGCTAAAGGCAGGACATGTACAGATGTATGCGCGCACTTGTATCTCTCTATATATGTGCATATGCACCACCATCACCGACAGGTCAAGAATCACTGTCCGTTCGTGTCCAAAAGCCAGAGGAAGGCGCGGAAGCGCGGTCTCGTCATTGACGTGAGTGAGTGGGAGAAGTAGTGGGGGGCCGGAAGATGTGTAGGATATGAGGTAGGGAACGGCCGGAAACGGCAGAGGTGCAGTCAAGACGACAGCAGCAGAGTGGCATGCAGTGGGGTATCGCCGGGTATCATGCATCCATGCCGATGAAACGGGGAAGGAGTTGTTTGGGTCATGCATTTGTAGGTAGGTAGGTAGGTAGGTAGGTAGGTAGGTGGGCCTGCGGAGATGAGGAAAGCTTGCTTGTGTGTGTGTACGGCCTGCGCGACTGCTGCTACCGCCTGCTGTATGTGTGGCCTGCGTCTAACAGCTCGTATACCGTCGCCGTCCGCCACCCGTGCGCGCCCGTCAGCATGCCTGCCATCCACGTCATGACATCCAAGCAATGGCCCGTGTTAATGGAATTCCGCATTGCGACTCCGCCGTCCCTCAAGCAATTCCGCAGCGAACGAACGTCCCTACTCCTACCTCCGTGCGCTTTTCGCATCTCGCCCCTTCGTCCCTTCGCTCGTCCTTCCTCTGACCGCCAAGTGACGACCAACATTGACCCATAGTGCGTATGTATGTATGTACATGCACGGGGTACCGCTTTCATGTACGACATGCATGCGTCGCACGTACGACATACTGCCGCTGCAGTACGTGGTGCGTGACCGTGGGCCCATCTCCTCGGTGTGGCCTCTGTGGGTACCTCAGCTTCAGGCGCACATGGCGTGCAGCGGGGCGGACAGCGCCCTGCTGCTGAGCCGGTCACCCTCCCGGGGAGTGCGGCTGTTCAGGATGTTCAGGTGGGCAGCTTACTGTGTGTGCGTGTGTACTGTTGTGCGTGTGTATTGTTGTGTGTGTATTGTTGTGTGTGTATTGTTGTGTGTGTGCGTGTGTATTGCATCATGTGGGCTCACAGACATGTGCTGTTGCGCAGTGGGCGATGGTGCGCCATGCCAAGTATATGCTGCCTAGCTAGCATGGCGAAGCAATGCCCACAGTGTGCATGCTCTCTCTCTCCTCTCAGCTGGATGCCTCCTCTCATCGTTTTTCCATTTAAAAGGTGCCTTGTAGTAGCACACTGCCTCCTCATGCAGTTACTTATGTATTGTACGTTCACCCCGCCCGGGCCCCTAACCACCACCCCTTGCCCTGCACCATCTACCGCCAATCTGTCATCACATATATATTCATATGCGGGCAGAGACGACGCCTACATTGAGGCTGCATTTGACATCCTCAGGGAGCTACAATGCAGCCACGTCGCACGCAGACAGCCACCTGGATGTGACCCGTGGGTCGGCAGAGCCGGCTACGAAGACTTCGTACAGCGCACCGTAGCGGTGTCCTTTGAAGCGGAGACTATCGTAACGACATCCGCCACGCCCAAGGTGACCTATCTTCGCTTGGCTTTGCTGCTTAAAGTTCACATGACATGCCTGCTAATCGCTCATTTGCATGTCAGGCGGCGGTAGCTACGTGGCTGCACAGCCTAGCTGCCGCCGCCTGACATGCAAATGCGAACTTGCGACATGGGAACGGGCGATTAGCATTTATAGGATAACTTCTATCACCCCTGCTGATGTGCTGGCTGTTTTTACTGCCATACGTCGTCCATGCAGTAATTTTTGGATTTAGGTGGTGTAGATGTGTAAGCACGGTATCCCCGCCTTTAAGATAGTTGACATACGGCCAGCGGACCTGTCGTACTGTAGAGCATATTGCATGTATGACAGGGTGTTCCTGAGTTTGTCTGAGCTACGCGCGCAATCCATTCCTGCTATCCCCCACTACGGTCCTGCTGCCTAACACGCCCCAATACGTGCAGTTGCCGGGTGCGGACTACGCGGCCTTTTGGGATATGCGGTGACCATCGCTATCCGGTTTGATCATCGCAATCTGGGAGCATAGCTGGAGCTGTTGGCATTGGCGCGTGTGTGAAACGATGTGATTATGTACACATTGTACGCCTGCGAATCGCGGGGTTGGCGGACAAAGACATTGTTTTTTAAACGAAACAACAAGTCGTTTTTGCGTTCCAGCAAAAGAAGCCAGCCAGCTTAGGAGGCAACGAAACCCCACCCACTTCTAGCGCGGTCTTCGTGCGGTTCAGCCCAGCTCGTTTCCCGCCTTTCCCTGGCGGAACGGTGCATGAAGGACGCGCGCAGGGATCATCCTGCATCGGTTTGAAGTTGGTCACCGATGCGGGGCCTGATGCGACCTTGTTTTCCTCCCGAGCAGAACTCAGACGTCGGTGCATAAGGAGGCCCGCGTGCGCTGTTAAGGCTTCGAGCGAGCTGGCCTGAGTTCTCCTTGGTGGTGTTCAGCTATGTATTACGTATGCCCCTGCCCTGCGTCGGTTTAGTTTCCCCCGACAACATTTTCATCCTCTTTCGGTACCAGGACCCCGTAAGAGTCCAAGGGTATGGCTCACCCCCCCTTATATGGTAGGGCCGTGCAGTGCGCCGCCAGTCGGTTCCGGGTTTTGCGTGGCATGGCTTCGGCCCTCAATACGGCAGTGTTGGCTGAGATGTATTCACCGACGATTCAATTACAACGGCGTAGTAACCTCATTCATTCGTTCCTTCATTCAAAGCACAAGTTCTCCCGTTTCATCACATGGTAAAACGCAAGTAGGACTGCATACCATCATTTTACATGTTGAAACGGCGCACTACAAGTGTGAACATGTCCTATACTGCGTTTCCGTTAGCCATCAGTAGATGACTGTGAACGAAGGAATGCTCGTGGCGACCTGCAGCCAGCCGGCTCCGCCTATCTACAGCAACGAAAACATGACAGCTGACGGACAATAACAGACTTCGCAGCCTTTCCGACAAACACAAAGGGTTTATGAATACAAAATCCCATGCTTTAAAGGCCGAGAAGGTAGAATGGTAGGCTGGTAATCCTATACCTCGACAGCTTCCCTGTAAGACAACATTTAGATAACATTCACTATTAACGTACTACTCGTAAATGATTGTAGGCTCCAAATTCAAATGTTCTCACCATTTCAGGTACTCTTCGATTATGAATATGCTTCCACTATATGAGCTTTGAACTATAAACAAGTGTTTCGTATCCCAGGACGACGATGGAGGACCTGCAGCCGAAGTGCGATGGCAGCTTAATCGTATCGCCTCTCTTCGATCACCACGTACTCCTCCACAACCTCTCCGGGGCGGCGTTGGTGGTGCTGGTGATGGTGGTGGGGCGGCCGATACTCGTCGCCACTGCCCATCATCTGTCCCCCCATCATCATGCCGCCACCAGCGCCGCCGTACATCTGCTGCTGATCCGTCATCATGCCGCCGCCGTACATTTGTTGCTGATCCATCATGCCGCCGCCGTACATGCCCTGCTGGATACCGCCGTACATCTGCTGGCCCGTCATGCCGCCGCCGTACATTTCCGGCTGCCACCTCAGCGACACCGATAAAATGCCGTGTTGCTCCATATTGTGCATATCCATAACAGGGACCTGTTTGTTGTCCTGGCCCATTTCCCGGACTCGGGACAAATTAACGGTGGCGATGCCTAGGTTCGGATCTCGACCAATCTCACTATCCTACGGGGGTTAGTAGAAATGGAAGATAGTGCGCAACGAACGAAAAGAAAAAACGAACGAGATCTAGTAAGCCTAATGTCAAAAGCGCCGGGCTTCATCTGCAGAAAGCCTGAAAAGTGGACTTCTGACACGCCAGGACAGGCATATGAAGAAGTTTTGCGTCGTCCTCGTCAAACGCCGACCAATTTGCTCAAGTTAACAGCAAGCAGGCAACACTGTGCGAAAGGGCGTCGTGCATAGATGCATATGGCATGCGCCTCGCTGACGTTGCAAAAAGCTGAAAAGGTAATAAAGTCGCAGAGGTCGCATGTCGCTACTGCAGCCGAGGCGAGCCGAAAGGGCGACCCCAAAAAACACCTGTTGTAGCCAAGCCAAGGTGTCGCGCTAACGATATTAACGGGGGACAGCGTGTGGGCACATAAACTAACGACGCTCTCCCACAGAGCGGATTCGGGTTCTCTACCTTTAGCTCAACGGTGAGATCGTTCTCGTTGCCGATGTTGAACTGGAAGGTCTCATTCCATACGGGGTTCTTGCCGGCCCGGGTTGCAGTTTGAGTCCGATGTGTCTGTGTGCCCACGGACAGAATGCAGTACGGACTCTGCCTGCGCATCAAGAGCCGCAAGAAGCAGGAAAGAAGTGAGATGGCAGCATCGAAAAGGCTACAAAAACTGATGTTGCTTGAGGCCGTATGCTGATAACGCCAGACGTGCGACGAACCGAATGCCTTGCGCAATGCAAGTTAAGGGTGGATGATTTATTTAGCCGAAAGATAAGCTTGCCTGAAAATAAATTCGCGATCCTGGAGACCCTCAGCGAACTCAATAGTTACCGAGAGAACGCCCGGGCACATCGCCATGGCTGAGGAAAGTGATATAGAGTGCAGAACTGGATGAGTTGAAAAGATTATGCTTGCTAATTCAGAAGACTATGATCGAAGCAAAAGGTAACTCCTTTAAATGGCTGGTGTATGTTCCGCTATTGTCCAGGTACGAAGGTCTACGAAGTGGTATGACGTAGACTTCAGGCAGTTGCCACAACTTTAGCTACGCTTGTATAATGTGATTTTGAGGCTTTCTGGCTTTAGCTTTTAGCCAAGGCCATGCCCAAGTGGTATTGTCGCAACATGGTTTTCTCGTCGGTTTTGGAGACCTTGCAACTGCTCTCAAAAAGTTGCTCGGCCATTGGATCCCTGCACCGTATCATACTTCCACTTATTTCACAATAGCCTTTGCATTCGCTTTAAATCTGATGCAAGTGTGAAACCTTACGGTAGCTCGTTTTGGCCACCTGCTCTTCCAAGATAGCGGTGCATTACCACTGGTTGCCACTTGTACCACTTGTACCTGCTGGTATTAAATGGCCGTGTTTCTGGGGATTTGGAGGGTCGTCTGACCTTCCCCAAGGGTGAAGCAGGTGGGAGCATGATTGATCTTTTCGTAGGTTCGGCCGGTGTTCTCCGCCATGCCTATTGGATGCGAGTGGGCGAGCTACTCGCGCCAGATGGTTGGTTCCCGACTGACCACCGTCCAGTGACGCTAGTGCTTGGTCTAGCTGTAGGAGGAACTGGGACGAGTGCCAAAGGGTGCTGCCAAAAGAAGCGAGCAGTGTTTGAGATTTCCCGTTATCGTGACTATGCTGCTCTGTTCACTGATGGATCCCAGGTCATGCATGCACTAAATGGGGTGATCACGGACCTATCGAATGGGGCCTGCAACAGCACGGAGTCGGTGGAGCGCATTAGTACCCTCCTGCGGAAGGTGCTGATTCGAGTATTTGCGGGTCGCAGGCCTGAGGGTATGCAAGCGGGGGGTGGTGCATTATGGTGGAACGAGGAATGCCAAAGCGTCCGGCAGCACATGCTTGCCTGCAGGGTGCGGCTTGGCCCTGGCAGGGTCGAGAATAAGTCAGGCCCCTTGTGGGAAGCATTCTGCAAGGCACGTAACGCAATGAACCGTGCCAAACGTCGTGCCCGAGCAGCATATGATGCAGAGAGAATGCGTGAGTTCGTGGTAAGGTGCAGGCACGATCAGCGCGCACTATGGCGGGCCTTGGGAGGGCAACTCAAGGAGCGTTGCGCGATTGATGACTTGCATGTATTTCGGGATCATTTTGCCACCTTGTTAAATGCA